GCTATCGTAAGAGTTTGAGAGTTAATGCGGCCGGGGTTTGAACCCGTTACTTTCCTCTCCGCAGACGGGCCCTTATCAAATTTAACCCGGTGGCACCTGTGCTCTGAAGAAGGGCTAGCAATGGAATCGTCATTAGTGCAAAGGAATATCCTGAGGATAATAGTCAGTGTTTGAACTGTTGTTACTTACATGTACTTTACTTAGAGGTTTAGCCAAGTAATTGTAAAAAGTACAGTACGCTCTTGCATTTTTGAGGAAAAATGAAATAGTAATGAATGGTAAAGTGGGAGGATAAACAATAACACTGATAAAGACAGCTGCTGGTATTCGTATTGAAAAAAGTGTTTGATTTTGATTTCTCAATATTACAAGCCCATCAGGTCTTGGTCTCTGTGTACAGGCAAGTTCGTAAAAGATGCCTACAAGATCATAATAATCAGGTGATCTTTTTTCCTTCTCCTTCATCATACATTCAATATAATGAGAAGGCCAATGACATTCCTCTGGTACTTGTATATCTGCATTTCTTCTGACTTCAGCTTGGTCATCTATCGGCAAAACATACAGAACAAAAGAACATAGTTGTCGATATTCTTTGTGGACACAAAATTTGTTCTTTGTAGGATAAACATGGCCCTTATCAGATTACTAAAAAAAAGTTATGTAGGTATATGATCTAGTATGATTTCTCATTGAAAACATAAACAAAAGCCCCTATGGTCTCCTATTTGAAAATGGCGTCTCCTCGCTTAGAGCTGAAAGTTGCATATTTTTTTGAGGAAACGGAGGGTCGAACGCCTATATTTTTGCCAGTGAAGGTATTTCTTAGGGTTGTGCGTAAGTATACTGAAAGGAAACAAACGTCGTCATATTGTGCTCGAGTACGCTCTCCTTTAGGCTCAGATTGGTCTCGTTCAGGGGATCGAAGGAGAATGAGAGATTTTTCACTCTCTTTCTAATTTTCTGTTAATCACTCCCGTCTCTTTCTAATGGGAGTTTTCCGAAGACGAGACTCATGACCCTGCAAAACCAAGTATTTAGAATAGACAGCAAAGGAAATAAATGTGTTAGAACCTTACTTGTGAAGGTTGAAGTGACTGTAGTTAGCAAAAACACGATGATGATAACGCGAGCAAAAGTCTTCATGTTGAATATTAACATTAACTCTGAACATAACCTGAAGACAGAACACAATTAGCTTTCTTTTAATGTAGGGGAGGTGATATTGCTTAGAAAAAGCAGGTGGTATTCCCGGGGGTACTTCATACAATGGCCTTTACGGGAAGGCTTCGCCCGATAAAAGAACCTCTTTCTGGCTTCACGTAATATGGAAGGGTAGGAAAATCAGTCATTCCGGTCTGTAAAAAGCCTCAAGAGGGCTAACATCTACATTTTCTGGCTCTTAAAAGTGGAGAAAACATTTTGTTTCCCACAGTTTTATCGGGTTCTCCTCTTATAATATTCAATACAACACAAGAGAAAAAAATGTTTTGTTAGGTGATTGATTTATATTTGAAAGACAACAGAGATGCAAAAGTTCTAACCTAGGTGTGTAAAAGGGGTAACAAGGGGTACCTTTTCTGTAAAAAAGGTATAATTATATTAAAAATATAGGGGATTGGACCATCAGGCGGAGCGTACCCGTAATACTTTGTTGAGTGCCCCTCCCCGCTCCCGCACATTTGCTCAGCTGTCAGGATAAACAGAATGGCCCAGCATTTCTAAACAAATGGATTGGCGTTTTAGTTAGTTTATTTTACGACTTTTCCAAGCATTATTCAGAGGGAAGCTTAGAAGAAATTACTTAAGCGTAGAGAATAAATTTAAATAAAGTTGAACTCTCTTAATGCGTATTAGTTAAACGAAATACCAGTGCCTTGGAAGCAAAATATTAAAATACTTACGTTTTGGTTTTCTTTCCTGAAATAATTACTAAGTACCCCTTTTCTTAACAGATATAATTATATCACGGCCAAATGTCTAAATACCGGTCCTTTTCAATTTGTTGGCATTACTGCAATTCTCAAAGTAACCGATGGCTGCTTAAAACGTCAAATAAGGAGGCATTATAATTATTTTTGGAGACAAACATGATGACAAAGCCATTTTGTTTTTGTCATAGTCACCAAACTTAAAATACGGTCATGCTTTTTACTTATCGATTTGTTTGGTTTAAATATTGAAGTTACCTTAAAAATTTCTCTTTTAATGGAATTAGGGAAGTTCTCTTTTAGTTTTTGTTCCACTTCACTTGACATGTTAGAATCAAGAAACATCCTGCTTCAATAACTCAGAAAAAGAGCTATTGATTGCAATGGATGGAATTAATAACTTTAGAAGGAACCCGTATTTACATAGTAATATCATAGGTGACGAATTACTCCTTAATTTTGGCGCGAAATTTCAGCGTTAATTTGTAATTTCACGTGTGAAATTACAAAATTGCCATGGCAACCCTTCCGTACAACTCAGTGTCAAGATGGCGACGAAGTTAAAATGCCGTGAATGAAGATGTCAGGGCACAAAAAGACGCTTTAGAAAACCTGAACACGCGAAAGAGCACATCAAGAAGGATTCTAACAGGTATTTTGCCGAAAAATTCTGAAAAATTCTGAACTTTATAAGTCAAATTTAAGGTCTAAACATTTGAGAGAGTAGAGTTCTCGATCGATACGATCCAGGATAAACATGTCAAAAATCCAAGATTGCTAACGTAATTCGTCACCCATGATATTAATAGGTAATCAAATGGTATGCTCGTGAAATTAGGGAATAATTTCACTCGTCACCATTTGATTACACATACTAATCTTGAGCTCATGTTCAGCTTAATTAAAGTGTGGTATTTACCTTTTTTTTAATATCAATTAACCCTTATTAATCCAATTTTTTGAGTAACTCACTTCAAAATTTTACCTTAAAGCTCAGTAATTTGTGCTTTTAAATAAAATCTGCTTCAACGGTTAAGTAGCTCTGTCATTGAAAAAAAATCTCTTGAGCTATCATACGAAAATCTTCGGTCTCCAGCTCATATTCAGATTAATTGGTTTCAAAAGTTCTGTTTTTAAGGCAAAATATTCTTCTTCAAATATACCCATCCTCCCTCTCCAGAAAAAAAGCCCTTTCTTTATACGACAATGTTCCTGTCGCCAACTAGAACCATGTTAAAATTCAACCTATGAGAAAAAGTTAGGAACAACAGCGCTGACAGGGTATACTAAAGAATTGAATAAAGTTCATTTTCCAGGTAACCCTAGAACTGAACAAGAGCAAATAGATTGCCCCACAGTTTGACCGTGCCAATCAATTTCTTCTGATAGAAATTTAGGGAATGTACACACTTGGTGCCCGAGAACTAGTGCCTGGGTAGTGACAAAAATGGTGTTTTGTTCACACCTTGGCTATACCTAAAATGTAAACTGTACATTATTTACTCCTTTTTGCCCTCTGTGAGACGCCATTTTGAAACGCGAGCAGATTGCAGTAGATTACCCAGAACAAACAAAAACGGTGTACACCCCGCAGGTGACCAAATCCCTTTTTAGTGCCAATGTATAAGGTCTCGATTTTATCCTCGGGCACCGACCAAACGCATTAATTCGGGCGTGGATACTTGTTAAAAGCGTGTGTTCACATTAGTGTCCAACGAGTACCGCACTCGGGCTTTGTACCCATGCACCAAGTGTGAACCAAATGCGTCTATGTGTACGTCAACAGTTAGTATGCGCATGCGTTAGTATTCAGGAGCGAAATGTTAGTTGAGTTTGTTTTTGGTTCTCTTTTCTGCTCCAAGACTGATGGGGGTTTTTTAAGGTACATTCAAACCTCGTTTGATGACTGACACCCACTTAATTGGGACACCCCGTTAATACGGACACTTTCTAAGGCCCCCTCCGTGTCCTTATTTGCGGGGTTTGAATTTCCTTTCATTTCACTTGGCATTGCTTATTTCAAAGAAAGAAAGACATTAAGGAAGCTATCTCCTGGTGATTTGAGTGAAGAAAGCTGTAATTATGAGCAATTTTGGTGTATTCTTTGAGATTGTTTTAACCCCTTTAGATGGCCGGCATTTCCCTACCGGTACATTAAAGAAACGATTACGAAGCTGTAGGGACTATACGACTACGGTTTAGTATTTTTTTTCAAATCAACCATTACAATTTTGTAGGCATTACAACACCCATAAAAGCCCAGCTTTTTGGGCCAGTCACCTCACCCAGAAACAATTGCGGGTTATATTTTGATGCTAGTTCCTTTCGCATTTCTAAAGTAGCGAGTGGAAGTGATAACATTGTTGTGACACGTCTCGTTGGTAAACGTACCATAATTATAACGTTGCAGGAAAGTAACACTATTTGTCAGTTTTATTTTTTCCATATATTAACTTACTAGCTAATTAACTAAAAGTTATCTTCAACAAGTTCTTGAAAGTTCTTGTCAAACTTACACATATATGCCAAGAAAAAAAAATACGAAAAAACATATATGTACAAAAGGTGTAAATATAATAAACAATTGAGATAAAATAAATTTTTGACAACAAAGAGCCAATATAAATATCAAAAGCGAAAATCCTTATGTGGATCATTATACTTTTCTGGGAAACTGCCCACCTACCCCTCCCCTAAGCCAACGTTAACCCTATTTTTTCTTTGCACGGTCTAAAACAGAGCTCTAAAATGGCAGGTAGTATTTTTCTGGCCTCGGTGTTTGGAGACAGACGTTATCTACCCTTAAATCATTAACTTACAAGACGTACATGAAATCAGTGAAAATTGTTAATAAATGCTACATGTACATGAAGGTGTGCTGAAGCAGAAACACATTTTGTTTTTGTCCATAGAGTCGATTAACTCCAAAAATGGAAGGTTTAAGCGCAGGTCCAGTGTAACAAGATGCATTTTAGGACAACAGCATTAAGATATTAAAAAAAGCTTTTTAAACAGTCGAGGCCTAGAGGAAAACAACAGTGGCTGATTTCAACAGATCAGATCCAAAGCCAGACTGGTTATCTGGATGATTTCTTTTGGTAAAAAAGGACAATAACTGTACAGGTTATTCTCTACTTTTTGGGAAAAACTAACTCTTTTTTAATACTCGTGTTCGTGGAGTTCCACATTTCTCTTCTCTATCTTACCGTCAACGGTTGCTTAACTTTAATTTAAAGTGTAACCAAGCAACAAAAACGCGCTAGTTATCAAGTATTTCAATGTGAAAGTACGATAAACTATTGTTTGTTTAAGAGCTGTGTGGCCTCTGGAGCTTAATGCTCCTTTCTCACGGCAACCAGTTTCTCCAGAATGTCTTTTCATGGCTCTACCTCATCGCTGTCAAACGGTAGGACATTCCAGCCGCGAATAGCGTCACCCTGGAAGTCAATGCCTCTGTCCTTGAAAAATATATTCTTTATACAACCGCTAAAACCAGTATTAAACTTCGCATGTGTCATTTTTGCGATATTGTCACCGCCTCCTATTGGAAATAAAAGGAAAAAACATAAAGATAATACAGGCTATAATATCCTGTTCAAATGAGAAAAAGACCTTGATCATCCTGAACACTGACGAAGGAGGTAGACTTTTAGATGATACTAACGGACTATCCACACCCAGTTTGCTTGGTAGCTTAATAGGTAAGAGCACTGCACCGGTACCGCAGAGGTCAGGGTTGGAGTTATGTATTATCTTGTCTCCATTTGTTTCTTCTTCCCGCAATTAAAATATATGAAATCCATATATTTCTGACTGCCCATTCTGATCGTAGGGATGACTGATAAGATAAGGATATACAATGCACTTACCCATAAATATGTTATACCCTTGGTTAATATTCAGCCCTTTGCTTCCCTCAGCTGAGGTGCCATTTACGTGATCATCATAATCAACTTTAAGGGAACCCTCACTGAAACTCCTACAAAATTAAAACGACAAACGTCACTAATCTAATAATTAAAATAACTTATGAATGACGTCAGGCAGTCAGTGCTGCTTCATATTATATAGAGGCCAAAATCAATAACTGATTAAAATTTTATTCATGGTTGACAGTCGGGGGGTTTATTCTTGGGCCCTTCCTTGTTCCTCAAATGTAACGAATCGAGAATACGGAGATCTAGGAACTATTATTTCAAGATTGTAGTTGAAAAAGTTTCTTACCTGTAAACCTTGATGGAGTGCCATTGGCTGTCGTTGACTGGAGACAGGGATTGTAGTACAGCGGGCCCAGAACCGAGTTCAAATCTACGAAAGACGTAACTGATTTGTTAACATGATTTTAAAGTATTCTCAGGGTAGGGGCCGATATATTTAGTTCCTGGTTATTTGCAGTGGCGGATCCGGGGAGGAGCCCGGGGACCCGTCCCCTTATTTTTTTTATGTAGATCAGTGATCAAGGATTAATGTGTAATAAATTTAACCGAGGATGTGCTTCATTCAATTTCATAGTTAACTACTTTTAGTCAGTGTTTTTGCCCAAATTCTCAGCAAAATCATCAATATGAGAAAAAAGACGCAAAGCAATACCATTTTTTAGCTTCGATTGACGTGCGTCACTCAAAAACGCTTTTGCTTAATCTCCCTATTATTTTACTGCCCCCGGATGTGAAGTGGGTTATGTGATCCATCAGTACATTGATGTAGCGAAATATATTCTTTTAATACGTGTATATTGTCTATGTTTTTTAGTGCATTACATATTTTAGAGGCAATTTTAGCGACATTCAGATGCGTCAGAGTCTTATATGCGACCAGCTCCCATTAGCGACCCCAAACTTTGGGAAATTTTTGGTGGTCACATACATGTATGGGTGTTTTTACTCTGAAAGCAAAGAATACAAAATTTTAGAAAGAGACCAGTTGTTGGGCCGTCAAGAGTCCTAAAATAATTACCTGAACTCCAGAAATCCGTCTCTTAATCCGATTGCAAAGTGATCTCTTCTCTGGAAGGAGCAAGAAGAAACATTTTTTCATAGGGACACCGAATTGATCCGGGTGAGAACATGAGGTATGTATTTGTTGCTTGATGCCTTACAGATCAAGGGAACTGTTCGTAATGCAAGGGGCCTGTGTGTGTGAAATATACACGAACGCGTTGGCAAAGAGATACGGAAGTGTTTTAGAAAAAAGGTTTTGTTCTTACAATCTTTTAATAATTAAGAAAAAGCTCAGAACTGAATGTGGCAAAGTAGATGGATGTCTTTTCTGGTCATCGGGTTATCAGGCATAAGTTATAAACAATCTCTGTTGGCCGAACTCATTACAACACTCTATTTTACCTCTCCTTGCCATAGGATTACACCATTTTGAGCTTCTGTTTTTATCTCAAGTGACATATAGTCAGGTGTTGTCGATCTGTAAAAAAAAATGGACGCATGCATGCTCAAAGCCGTAAACATTGCACTGTGGATTATAAGGTATTTCGGTTATAAAATACCAGGATGGAAATAAATTGGGCGCTCATTTTGTATTATAACAGTCGTAAAACTCTCCTGATGGTGAGAAATTTTCTCTCAGAAGGTTCACTGAACACCAAAGAAAAAAACCTCACCTCGGTCCTCGCATGGTCGATGATGGGAATTCCAAGAGACCGTCACCACTGAACAAGGCATTTTTTCCAAGCTGGACAGCTACAACGAAACAGCCAATCAGCAAGAGTCACTGGAATCGACTCAACTATACGTTGCCTCATGCAAGCTATTTTAAAGAACTTTGCACCGAAAACGTTAAAATAAACCCAACAGCAGAAGTTTCCGCTGCCTTTGCTCTGATGACACTGTATTACGCAAATTGGCCTAAGTCCAACAATCGACACCCTTGCACGGAAGCATCCATGATGTCTCCTTCTTGCTAATATGCTTACTGAGTAAACGGCAAATCACAAGACTACAATGTGTGTTTTAATGTATTCAACGATCACCAACATATACATTTCTTAGTCTATCACACTATCTCTTCACTGAAAGCAAAAAATGATAGCTTTTAAATTTGGCACTGTTATTGGAAATTTGTGCTCAGAATCACAAAACGGAATTGCTAAAGACCTAAAGTATTAAAATTTTCCGGGGAATGCCTTATACCCCATGCCCTCCTCGGCTCGATTATCAATCTAGACAAAAATACCACATAAAGAACCCCGCTATACAAAAATGCTGGCTACGCCCCTGGGCAGCAACAACAAAAAACAACAGCAACAAGCAAGCCAACAACATACATTAAAAAGGAAAGAAAGAAATGTCTCTCAGAAACGGGGCTCAGAAGAATTATCCACATACCTTTCACAGTTCCTGCCAGTATAACCAGGTTGACATGAGGTACACGTTGGTCTGCCGTCTGTGTCTAGCTTACAAATTCGGCTGGACCTGTTAAACAGTTACATCAGCACCATTGATCAGTATCAGCTCACACTCTCTAAGCAAGAGTAAATAAGGTGAGACAAAAGTGGTTTACATTGTGTGAGTTTCCATAATGACTTCATATCGTAGCTTGATGATATGCTCGATACAATAGCCAGCGTCCTTGGAATCCAAGGCTTAGAAAAAATGGGATATCTGAGGTCTGAATCTTAATAGGCAACGTTTAGATTGTGGTTTGGTTTTATCCTTGGGTTATTTTTTCCTTTGTTTTAAACTCATTTTCGTAAATTACCGTATTGAAAACGATTGCAAAGATAAAATTGAAGCTCGACATACACATCAAGAAAGGAAAAGCTCCCATGGGCCTCTCATGGGTGGGTAGGAATTAACGGGATCTCTGAGGTACTTACTGATCGGATGGGGTCGTCAGAGGACAAGGACACAGTTGACAGTCTTAAGACGTTCCTTTGGTGGCGTCGCCATAGTAACCAACAGCACACTTCTCGCATTTGACGCCTGCGGTATTGAGATCACATACCTGGAATTCGCAACCAAGGAAATAGTAATAAATACATAATTTTCAAAAAAAAGGGAAATAACCAATGTTATTATATATAAAACAAGCGAGTGCAAGGTCTTTATAAACACGATAAAGACATTTCTACAAGTGCGAATAGAATAAAATTTAAAAAAAAAAAAAAACTTTTAAAATGATCATACTGCCATCTGGGTGAAAACCTGTTGCTCAAAATAAGGCATTAAACAGTGCCTAGGAGGTCTGAAATGCATCCAGAAGACGAAGAAAAACAAGCAAAGGCTAAAGGTAAGCTTCAGAGCGATATTGAATACACATTTTATTAATTTAGTGAGCAAAGATTTCTCATACGTGTTATAATTTTCGTGCTGTAGGAATAATTAATTAGCTTAGAAGGGTAGTGTTGTTCTCGAGTTCTTGACATCCTAACAGGCATGAAACGCAGTCAACACAATAAACATAAGAAACTACTAAATACAAGCATAAAAGGAAAAATTTAATGCATCTTTCGCTCAATTATGGCGAAGTAGGATAATTCTCATACACCGTCTTATAATTGTTGCCGTATTAATTAGCTAAGTAGGATAATGTTTCGGGCTCTCATAGTCAGCTTGGGCTACCTGTGACAAAACGGATCCCGTTATTTCTTTCATTAGAGTCGATATAGGTTGGAAAACCTCTGGTTTGTGTCTTTAAATAAGGATAACACCCAGTGGCGAATCCATCCTGACGTCACCCTTTACATGTTGATCCTTTCGTATTAAAAATTACCGCTGAATAACAGGAGGGCATTTTGTATCCGCTTGCTTCAATATGGTCGAAAAACTGTAAAAAAATACCCATAGATTTCATGTTTTTGTGGCACATATAAACGCGTGTCTCCGCGATCAGTTTAACATGAGACATCGCGCTAATAAATAAGCCTCGCGTAGCAAATTTTTTTTTCGCTTTTCTTAAAGCAGCTGAACATTCCTACGATGCATTTCTTCCTTGATAAGTAAAGCCATGAGTGTGGAAATCAAACCATTGAAATGCATTGCTTTTCCAGTGAAATTCAGATCTGCTACAGGAACAGTGATTTTTGACGTTGAGTCGTTCAAGTCTTTAAAAGAAAACCTACTACTGAAAAATCTACAACTGAAAACCCGCGTAGAAAACGTCCGGTTTTTGTCATGGAGAACATTTTTTTGTAGGAAAGTACGGTATTCAAAGCACCAACGAAATGGCTTTTAAAAGGACTGTAACTTTTCGCGAGTTTTCGATTTCCCGCCATCAGAGTTGATGCGCCAACTCTCTTGTCGTTCCGCGGATTCACGCATGCGCATGCAAAATTGTCTCCTGTTCCCCTGAATACAAAAATTAACGACACTTTCATACAGGGTTAGCCTCGACATAAAGTAAAATAAAGTGGAACCTCGATATAAAAAGAACCTCCACATAGTGAAGTCCTCGGTATAACACATGATTTTCTTTTTCCCAGTAGTAGTAAAATATATGAAAAAAGAGCCTCGACATAACGAAACCTCGTTACAGCGAACAAATTTTGCCAGTCTCCTGGCCCTTTGTTAAGTCGAAGTTCTACTGTCTTCACAAATTCCGGAAATTTTAAAATATACAATAGACGTCTTTTTCTTGTATGTTTTGTTTTCCCAAAAGAGGTCCGAGGGGAACTTCACCCTTTGTCTTTGCATATCTATGTGAGTAAGACAAAATTTGAAAGAAACAGTCCTCTAGAGTATTATCACATGACCTGTATTGGAGAAACAAAACATACAACATAAAGAGGTCTTTTGAAAGACTAATAAACAGATCTTCTTCTCGATGGAATTTGAGATTATGTTTACTTCAGATGGAGGCTACGCCTGTGAAAAAAAAGCGTCTTCACTCATTTTATTCAACAGGCGATAGCCAACTCGAAATTGGATTATTTTACTGACTGGGGGCGTCATAGAGTTAGATCCGTGTTTTGTTGTTGTTTCAAAATAGGTTGTGAAAAAAACAATACTTTTAAACATTCATTTAAAAAGATCAGCGAAAAAAATAATATCGGATTTTTCTTCACGTCGATTAGGATGAGTTTGCACGTTTTGGTGAGGTTTCAACATTATTTCTTTTTTAATGCGATTTGTGGACTGTTAAGGACGGTGCCCACTAATGGGAAGTATTTTTTCCCAGATAATGACTATGTGAGACAAGTAGATCATATCAGGGGATATTGAAATCCAAAAAGAAAACTGGGGGTAAGCACGCATTTTTTCAGAGATAACTGCGCTTCAATATGGAGAAAAACGCTGAATAGGCATTTTTAAGAAAAATGATAAAAAGTTATTTTTCCCCAAATTTCAGAGTGTAAACGTGAACTGGCACAAATGCAATGATAATTGTAACAAGGTTTCAAAATCAGCAACAAATGATAACATAACAACTGCTCTTTATACGTCTTTTTTGGAAATATCAGCATAACTGGGAAGTTATCAGCAGTTACCCGTCTCCAAGCGTTTGCCTTAAAAATAGTGTAAACGACATTTTCCCCGAACCAAAAATTGATCGTTTGCCGACTAGGCTTATTACTTTCATTTGGTAAGATAAAAAGTAGGGGTTCCCACGCGTTTTTAGAAGTTAAATTGGTTGGATTCGACCTTAACTTAATCGCTTTGGGGGTTATTTACAATTTTTCCCATCCCCTCCCCGGTCAGTTTCACTATTGCTTCACTCAACGCGGAGTACTCTGGGATATCCACAATGGCTAACAGTCAGAGAAAACAACAACCCACGGAAGAGAGCAAAAACAGAAAGTGAAGCAGGACATTTCATGGACTCTGAGGAAAACAAATTATACTATTTAATTCAACTGGAGCTTCTCCGTCTCAAAAATTTAACAAAAATTTTTGAGAAACAAACTACGAGGTATTAGAGATTACTTCCAGCGCACATAGAGTAGTATTGCGAGCTAAAGATCCAAGGCTGGTGCTGTAAACAAACTACTGTACTGTAGTGGAAAATAGTCGACAGGGACTCTTAGACAGGTACGCCTTCAATCGTTTGCTTACCTGTACATGTCCTCAAGATTTTTTGAAATGTAGATGTAATGTTGATTGTAAACCTTCTATCGTTTTTTATCATTTTACCCAGTACCTCGAACGAATATGTTATTATAAAACTTGCATACATTCAATGAGCTTATATCTGTGCTTTGCGCTATCTAGCCATCTCTTTCGGGCTTTGCCACAAGTGTCATATGACATAAATGATTTGAAAAGACTCAAGTTCCATACGTGAGCTCTCTTTTAAAAAAGCTGAATACTGGAAAAGTAGTTGTAACGAATGCGTTTATGTACCCTCATGTATAAACTGGGCTATAATGATCATTTTATATATTTCGTTTTGATTTTTTTTACTGTAGCATTCTGTGTCATGATCATTCACTATTTTTCGTTCCTAAATGTTAATTTTAGACTTAACAGTGTCTGTTAAACCTAAGAAAGTCTTAGAATGGAAATACTTTATTTTGCCTTCCAGCTTTTTAGTTTGTAGACAGCAAAATGGCAGCTATGTCTAAATGTCCAGATTACGTGTGGTGTGAAATTGAACCTTAAGAAATACTATCTACACGACAAGCTACCCAATGAGTCAACAATTTCAATGCTTAGTAATGGCAAAATGCTTAAATAACAATGATAATAGTAAAAAGCATAACAATTTTTTACGATTTTTTCCTCGATGAAAGCGTTTCCTTTGCGGTCCGCAACCATTGTGAGGCTGCGATCTCAGCAATCCAAACAATCTTGTGATAGTTTTTTCTTGTTTATTCAACAAATAAAAGCTTCGGACTCTCAATAAAAGGGACATCTGTATACACTCGAACGCTTTAAGTCTATCTTCTAGTGAATAATTACATAAAATCTTACAAAATTAAAGAAATATTCGGGAAAGTGTTTATAGCCGATTAGCCGATAAAACGCGAAGGACGCGAGTGAAAGGTAAGCTTGCAGTTTCTCGACTAAGCGGAGGACTTAGAGCTATTTTCCTTCTGATTTACTGATCCTTGCCCATTAAGGGATTTTTTAATACCCAAACTCCAAGCGTAACATCTCGAAGCAATAACTTTTAATGTTTTAGAATTGACTTTTGTTTGACTATAAAATGTTCGGTCAGATCGATCATACGGCAGAAATAGCAACATGCGCATACTTCTTCGGTTTTCAAAGAACTGACAAGGTAAATAGAAATTATTTTCATCTCTTGAAAAACGACGCATCTTTTCCACAAGAAATAACTAGAACCTCCCAGACTTAGAGGAGACAAAACCAGTCCGCGTGTCCTGCGTGTTGCGCATTTCTTTCGCGTCGCGCGTGACTACCTTGGCATGCGCAGAAAATGTGCGTAGTAACAATAGTGGGCACTGTCCTTAAGCGGTTATTTTTATGTTTCACTCAGTTTGGTGGCGTTTCCTACTGTTTGAATCTTGATAAATTTTGTGACACAATTCCTTTAAAAACAAATTAGACAACTGTATATAACAGAAATTAAAAAGTGAACATCAGGTGACACATACTACTACAACTACTTACTCGCTGTTGGCAGCCATCAAGAACTCCTTGGTTTTACTGTCAGAATTCTCTAACAATACCAACGAGAACACGTGGTCTTAACTCATATCCAATTCCTGAGGTTCTTCCACTTGGGTCATGTTACGTGTGGCGTAATCCAGAACTTGAAACCGATTCTCACTGAAAGAAATTAGTAGATTAGCTTGATAGGGAAAACAAAAGATGAAACGTTAACGATAATTAAATAATATTAGTCTAAGCAAATATCTCGGTAAATATCAACTAACTTGTGACTTTGATTTTATTAACTTCACTAAGACAAAGACAAAAAAATTGAACGAAATAACAATTATAACAAGCTTAAATCATCCGCTACAATCAATTAACATTCATACCTTTTCTTTTTTGGCCAAGAGTAACAAATCGTTGAAAAGAAACATGCATATAGATTTCAATTTGGGTTTTAGTCTCTTCAGTGGGCTCTTGGAGTCCTCCACAACTTGCATAATATCACCTCGTCTGAGCAGATATCGAGATGGCGTCGCTAAGGCGAGAGGCTGCAAAAATAAATAAATTATCAACCTGTGAGTATTCAGTGGCGGATCCAGGGAGGGGCCGGGGGGCCCCCCCCCACTGATTTTTAGACCAAACTGATGCCGCCCCCCAAGGGTCTGGTGAAAGCAAGCCCCTACCTCCCCCCATCCCAGGGTCTGGTGAAAGCAAGCCCCTACCTCCCCCCATCCCAGGGTCTGGTGGGTACCTCCCCCATCCCAGGGTCTGGTGAAAGCAAGCCCCTACCTCCCCCATCCCAGGGTCTGGTGAAAGCAAGCCCCTACCTCCCCCATCCCAGGGTCTGGTGAAAGCAAGCCCCTACCTCCCCCCATCCCAGGGTCCAAGCCCCTACCTCCCCCCCCATCTGAAGGTCTGGATCCGCCACTAGTATTGGATACTTCATCCTTACAACTATGCTAAGTATATATATCCTCTTATGTTCATCTCGCTATTCTGATATTTGAAAAATTATACCTTGGTCCTTATTAGATATCGATCAGAATTAAGGAGGCAGTCTGCTGGTTGTAGTTTTTTGGAGAAAATTTAATTTTTAACAACCCCATAATCCAATATTTTCCAATTTTCAAAATTTTAGAAATCCACTCCCCCAATTTTTAGTCCCCCAATTTTTAGAGTGATTTTACTTAACCTGTGAAATAGTTAGAGGAATACCACGCGCTATTATGCACTAATTCCATTGTGCTCTTTTGTTTACTTGTAGCTATTTTGCACTAGTTGTTATTCTCAGCTTCTCGGGTCAAGTAAAATCACTCTATAGACTATACATAAAAAACATTTAAAAAATTATCCAAAAATTTTCAAAAAATTATTGAACCAAGGACTCCAACCTTATTGAGTCATTTTTGGATTGAATGAAATCTTGGCTAGATATTTAAGAAAAAAGGCGGAAATGAACGAAAACCAACGCTTACTACTAGACTGTCTCCTTACTTGAAAACCCCTCACACCAAGGCGTGTAATATAACAACAGAAAATACCACAAAAACATACAAACAAAAACCGTTTTAATGCGCTCGGTTCTTATCCTAAGTAATAAGCAATCAAACTGTTTTCTAACCTTTGTTTTGAATTATATTTGCGTTTGCAAAACACAAATTTCCTCCATTCGTTCCATTTTCTTGCCCCTTCATTGCAATCATTTACTATCTACAAAATACACATCGTAAGCCTCCAATTACATTGAGTCCTGAAGATATCCCAAACTCAGAGAGCAGTTTAACTTTGGACTTTGAGAACGAAATAATATTTTTTTTAGGACAGGGGACGAGGAAGTGGAGAAAACATGGAAATAAATGCGTATGTCCGTGAAACGATCTTAAAATGTCCTTACTCATCACCAAGGTGTCAAAGAAAATATATTTTCTTTAATCATATTGAACGAAACCAGGGAAGCGGTAATAGGTTAGAGGTTTAAATTAACAAAAAACGCTCAATACAAATCGCCCTTTCGATTCCTTTAGTCAGTGTTTCTTACAATAACACGATGCAGCCTAGCTTACACTGTGATACTACGGCCTTGATTAAATTTACGGCACCTCCGCGATATCCACGGAGTAAAATGGCGAGAAAACCAAAATTAGATGAAATTTTTGTTCAGTTTTCTTCACCTTGTTGATAGCAGCTAACGCCCGGTTTGATCTGTTAAACTCTTCACTTCCAGCTTCACAGTGTTGTCAGATGGCCTAAGAAGAGTGACACAAAATAATGACAAAAATATCAACAAAAACTTTCTTAATAGTAACTCAGAGGAACGTAACACCAGGAGAGCCAGAAACTTCTTTAGCGTGTGGGTTTGGTCAAATATACAGTTATTTCCACACTCTCCTCAGGATTGGCACAAATAATAGACACGCTAAGTCAGAAACCTTTTCCCAAAACTTGTCGAGTCGAATTCCTAACCCCTTAAACGCAGAATAGTTCCATCATTTAACTATCTTTTGCGCCGAAGGAGAAGTTTTATTGGGTTAAAGAGTTTGACTTGACCTTGTAGTGCCCAGGGTATCGGCTATTTGGAGGTCGCGCAGAAGACTGGGTCGGTGGCATTTCGAACTGCACCGTGGCACTGTTCTAGTGGACGAATTTTGATTCAGTTTTCTATGCAAAATGTGACAGCCAACCAAAGATGACCAGGTGTTCCAAAACCGTCCCGTAGTGCATTTCGACATGGGGATACCAGTCGAGTCTTTCCGCGCAACTTGAAAATGACCATTTTGCCACTCTAGGAAACGAGAAGAAAGCTGGGCCGGGTTAAATTTCGCAAAGACTTCTAGCATCGCTGCTGGGGACGCGCCGGTGAGCTGTTGGTCCATTACTTTCCATCGCCAAAAACAGTCCTAGAAGTCTTTACGAAATTTAACCCGGCTTAGTCTCATCATGTCTACAGTGGCGAATGCCTGGTAGAGATGATGAAATTTGGAATTCGACATTCAAAATACTTACATTCACAAGCAAAGGAAGCCTCGTTATTCTCTGCATGGGAAGAACAAGAAATGACTGCAGTGTCAAACCCTGTACTTCCCTTCTGCTTTGTAGTCTCTTCATAGCCTCCGAAAAACGCACACTCTTTCTGTAAAATAACAAAAAAAATGCATGTTTAGTTTTCAACACACCAAACTGCACAAATTGTCCCCAATTTGTACTTTCGTGCTAAATACATTGACACTCAAATAAAGCCCCCAAAAAATTTGTGTTCGAATACCGGCTTTGAGACACTCGTGAAAGACACTAACGAGTGAGAGCGGTACCAGAACTAGCTTTCTTGTGCAAAAAAAATTGTTAGACAAAACATGTATCGTGACTGACATCCCTATCTTTCACTGTGAAATCCTTGTATTAAATTGACAAGCATTTTAACAGCTCTATCCTGGCAGAGATAAAAATTAATCGACTGAAAAAACGAGAGCTGTTGTTACCTTTAAAAAAATGATCACACTTCTCAGTGGCGCATCCAGGGGAGGGGCCCGGGGGGCCCGAGCCCTCCCCCTTATTTTAAGACCAAACTGAGGCCCGAGGGGCTGAAAAATCTTTTTTGGGACCCCCCCCCCCCCCCCTTATCTCAGGATCTGGATGACTGACCACCCCCCGCCCCCTCATCTGACGGTCTGGATCCGCCACTGCTTCTTACAATAACAGCTGTTTAATATTTGTTGTTCTTGTTTGCACCAGTTGTTTTTAGATTGGTTCACCTGTGAGTTGAGATTCTTTTTTGCCTTCTTTGGTGAGAAGGAGAAAAGAAAGCTCTGCCTGAATCACGTCAACTCTTTGAAGTCACCGAAACCCAAATTTCTGGATGAGTAAATCTTGTTTTTTCGTCAAACAGGTTTTTTGAGTGCGAACATCCGTTTATTGTTAAGCGGGTGGTCATGACTGAGCCCGCTGTACCAAGGGCACGGATATTAGACCTGGGTTTGAAGCTGTATCCTAGCAACAAGCAGCGCATGCTCAACAAAGATCTTACTCTATTCATGCAGCAGGGTTCGTACTCTTTTTAGCTTCTCAAATTCCAGGACTTTTCATGACCTTTTCCGTGACCTTAGCTTTAACTGTCACTTATTCTTAAAGCTTTTGTGTTTTAGGGTATTTCTGACTGTAACCAGTTCAACAGACACAAACTCTGGTATCCACCTAAATGCGTGCCGTTTGCGCTGTTCAGTCACTTCGCTCTATCTTACATTGTTCTTGATTTGTCATCGGCAGTAACGAATCTATCAATCAAAACTTCAATTTTCCATGACTTTCAAGGACCGACAATTACATTCCATGTTTTTCCACGCCTGGAAAATGCAATTCTTAGATTCGATGACTCAGTTCCAGGTTCCAATTACCTGTATGAACCCTGATGCAGTCTCACTCAAGTACGGCAAAATCGAGCAAGGGAGAGAAAGGCTCTTCTAGCAAGGTGAGACTAGTTAGGCCCTAGTGACTAAAAAAAATACAAACGCTATCTGTTTTTCAGCTTACCTTAGATTTCTTAATGCTCTGTCCTGATAGATCTGATTGGAACAGTATTTGACGTAAACCTCAAAGCACTGGGTAGCCTGTTATGGGATACAAATTCATGATGAGAGACAGTTGGCTGAGAACAGCACATGAGTTCTTACAACTGATTTCTCTCTCTCGGAGAGCAAAAAACTTGGCATTCTTTGCAAATACAGTAAAAACCCGCGACTAGGAACCTGCATTTTCCCAGTTAGCCTAAACAGGTTCTTACATGAATGGTAATAAGCACAAATTTAGGCTATTTAGGTTTTTAAAGAGGTTCTTATTTTCTGAAGAAAAATATACATTAAAGCCAAGAATATTTGGTGGAATTCAGTTCATTCTTTACGTATATTAAAATTTGTATACCATTACAATATTGCAATTGGAGTTGGAGTAATTAAGGCACCTATGTCTCCAAACAGGATCTTCATGTTGACTTTTCTTATTTTCCCAAGTGTACAGAGTTTTTTTATAGACATTTTTAGAACTGAAATAAGAACCTGTTTCAAATTTTAGGCTAAACAGGTTCTTCAAAACAAGGTTCTTAGTCGCAGATTTTCACTGTATTTTAGTCTAACAAAAACGATACAAAAAGTGTTAACTTACGTGTTGTTCAATAATGTCACTGATAGATGATATAACCAAAGCTTCCTTTTGGCGTGCACGCAAGGCCTGGAGAAAGCTACAAGGTAACGAACAAGTGATCAGTAACAAACATTCTAACCATAAAGTGAAACATTCGTTTAGGTAAATACCTTGGCCGTGATACATAGAAAAAACCAAGCCCTTTTAAAATAGCAAAGCCGACAAACAAACAATAAAACAACACAAACAAAAATAAACAAACAACGAAACGAAAATAAACTGATTAAGAAAATGGCAGCAATTCTTCATTTAATCACCCCGGTGACCAAATCGGCCGGTGAAGCTCATAAAATTAAAATTTCATATTCACTTCCCCCACAGTCCGAAAACTTGTAACACTGTACCAAAGTGTGACACAGAACCTATCCGATATGTGACGCTTCACTTATAAGTTCGCTGTTAGTCTTACAGAAACGGCGCCGAAATCACTGTTCTTGAGTGTGAACAGAAGCTCTATCTGGTATGGTTTTCGTGTAGACGCAAGAACTATCCGGAAGTCTCGAGAGTGATCACCATTGAGAAAATGCTTTGATCGTTTATCAAATTCTCTCAATTGAATCTTTAAGAAACGTATGGAGATCAGTGTGGAGAATTGGTATGTTGATATTAGGGCTTAAAGGGTTAAACAAATGCCTAAGAATCATCAACCCTTTACTTGTTTAATAAAACTGTTATTACAGAGAGGCTGCATTAACTTACTTCTCACTGACAGACTTGATGGAATTTATATTAGAAAACAGCACATGTGACTGGCCTCGTTCTAAAACACACAGCGAGGAGCCTGCGTTCAACTCTTCTGATTTGATGAACTGTGACATCAGAATATTTAGACTTCTCAGATAAGTTGCCTCTGACGTAATCACCTCAAACATTGCCTGCAATCAACACAGTTAAAGCACTCTCCTTAATAATATGCGACCTTATAGTTCAAATGACAGTTCTCACTTCCACGATTCAGTACCAACGCGTATATCTCAAGACATAGTGACCCTGTGTCCTATAGTGACCCTTTGTCATTGCTTAAATAGGCCATTAACAAGTCGCCGCAAACCTCTGTTTCAAAGCGAGGCTTTTTATTCTCATGCAAATGAAACTCCTTTTCACGCTTAGCCTCGTTTTGAAAGTGAGGTGTTTTGAATTCCGAAATGACCTTTTATACTGAAGTGATTAGCTTATCATTTCTTTTGGTTGATATTTGTTGTCATCAAAAATAGAAGCAAGAATGTTATGAAGTTAACCATGTGTTGCACGTCATTGAAAGGCACAGTAAAGCAAATTTTCTATTTCAAGTGCTCTGATCGGGAGTCCCATCATTCGTCTTGTAGGTATACGTACTGCACATGCGTGGCTAAGTAAACTTATAGCTGCTGGAACAGTAGCTGCATTCCACAAGTGTTAGACCTCAGGTCCATTTGAGTGTTTTCTTTACTATAAGACGGACACATCTCTAAGACGGACAACAGACACTGTTGAAACCGTAAACGAACACTTGAGAAGTGCTTTGTGCAGTGAAAAATACCTCTAAAACGAAAATGTAGGTGCTCTACAAGACAGTAAATTACAAAATCTTCAATATTTTGTAGTCTTTCTCCAGTTCGCAAAGTTTATACTGTTACGCTTTTATACGACGAAACCGTGAAAACTTGTTTTAAATGAACGTTTGATTCATAGACAAGACAATGATTTCATGTATACAATTATATTACTTACCTCTTGTCTTTTGCGTTCCTCTCGTTTTATGTTGTCTAAAATGCCACTTTCTTTGACCTGCGAAAGAGGAGCATATCATGAAAGACCTTTGAATCGCTCATTCTACTTAAACATACCCTTACATATCCTCTATGCAAAAGATTGTTAAGATGTAGATAGATGGATAACGGTTTCCTACTAAGAAAGAGCACTAACTTAAACTCAAAAAAAGTATTTATGTGTACTTCCTACAAAATTAGATACGTTTAGAGAAAAATGAATTTAAATTTCACTAAAAATTTCAAAGTGTGGAAAAATAAAACTGTTAAAACATTACTTAAAATTGATTGCTAAAAAAGGTTATAAAAAGATGAGCAAGATTTTTAAAGTTGAGGGTTTCCTTTCAATTTTAAGAGAAAATTATTATATCTATATGATTATCTACAAACCTCAGGTAATTCACACCAAAGCACTCTCATGTTTCTCAGCGTTCCTTTTTCTAGCTGTTCCAAGAAGGCTTCATCATCCGTTAGTGACTTATCACTGCTGTCACTGCCCATGCGCTGTCGACTAATGCTTCGCTGACGCTGCAGTGTGCACCGGGTATAGACCTGATACAAGGGCTCTGTTAAAACAAGTGAAAGAAAAAGCAAAGGTTATGCAATGGCTACATGTACAAAAAAAGAGACTGTAAGGGACATGTCAACTCAAACTGCACTGCTCATTTACTTCATGGATGTATTTGCTATTCTGAAACTTGAAATATTGTATAATTTTTGGATCACTACAAGATTCTAAAAAACTCGCCACTTACCCCTATGCCTTGTACATAACCAACCAATCACGGAAGTAAAACTCTTGGCCAGTTTATATTCTCACTTAAAATTTGCTGTATTCATTCAAGGAACTTCTCAAAGGTTTTTTCACTCGTTTTTACTTGTTTTTAAAGAACTGAAATGAAACCTTTATGTTGAGTCAGAATAGATAGTACAACGGAGAAAAAAAGCACTCTTTGCTGTATACATTGCATTTCCTCCATCACACAAATGATAAGATTCAGTCACACTTTTTGGCCTTGTTTTTTTTTTCCAACATAAAATGGAGATAGAAAGAGCTCTGGATGATGTCACCTTAGTCAATTAAATGTTGCATAAATTTAAATCCTGGAAGGCCAGGAAAGACTAATTTGCCAAGAATACTAACCTTCTGCAAAAGTGTCTCTTTCTTCATCTACAAACAAACATAAACACATCACAGTTAAAGTGTCCTTGAAACGATAACTGTAGCCTGCAGAAGAGTATAGCTTTTTTATTTTTCAGGTGAGCAAAGGCAAGCTCAAGGTAGGCACAGAGAGAGAGAAACATGCCCAGTGGGCCAATCATGTGTGTGTCGCGCTCATTGCTTACTTTCTGCTTACCTTTGCTGACCTGAAAAAAATGCAAACAAATCGCACCTATAGTGCAAGGTACGAAAACCGTTTTTGTGTACATTGTAGCTATAAATTTTATCATTCAACGTGCAGATCCAAAATATGAGATCTTTTGACGTAAAAGAAATGGTTTTACAAGCCCTTAAATTTGGCCCATGTTGCCGCAAAGCAAGTACATACAGTACTAGTGGTTATCATGTTCTAATAATGAATACGTTTTAACCCTTTAATCAAACATTATAATGTTCAACACTCACTCAATTTTTTTTTTAAGGTTTTGGGTCATACAGTCTAGTGTGTTATCAACCTTGTGAGTCAACAAACGAGACTCTCTGACACTACATGGTCATCTGATTTTGTTTTATCGCTCGCATGACGACGGATGGAATTAGAATTTACTCAGCAATAAGTCATTTAATAAGAAGGCAGCGTGGCCGAGTGGTCAGTGCGTTGGACTCGCAATCCGGTGGTCTCGGGTTCGAATCCTACTTTGGCGAATTGCTGGAGTTGCTCTTGGTTGTTTTGAGTTCAAATCCTCGCCCACTCTTGTACATGTAAATAGCCAAGTGGCTGCCTCCTGCCAGTTGGGGTTTTTGATCCTGTTATGTTGTATTTGAATTATTTGTTTCTAAGTATTTGAGTCCAGTGCCTGTAAACCAGCTGGATAAGCTAAGTGCACTTTGGACAGTAAACAAGCCTTTAAACCATTTTTTAAAAACCTTTTACATAACCATTGTTAACAAAATGTCTTTACCTGAAGAAAATCCCTCTTCATCTGACTTGAGGATAGGCTATGGAATATGAAAGAGTAAAAAATTAAATACCCTGTTAAAATAACCATTTTACGGTGGTAAAGAAGGTGAAATTATACTTAAATTCAAAAGATGTTCAATGTAGAACTTAAGGGTAGTCAGATCATGACAGGGAATACAGCAAGGGGTAACATTACAGATGTGTTATTGAGCTGTATGTGCAATGTCAAGACAAGTTTTTTTACGTTTGGACCAAGATGAAGTTAAAGTACTCGCCTCAGTTGTTCAAAGGGTGGATAGCGCTATCAACTGGATAGATCTCTATCCAGTGGAAAGTGCAATTAGTTTCCAGTGTAATTACACTGTAATTCCACTTTGTCAGAACAGCTTGAAAATCAGTTTTAGATGCACATCCATGTGAATTTAGCAAGAATTTGAAACATTTTGTCTTACTGTAAATTCCCCAAAAACTCTACCTGCCCATGTAACTGGAACCCAATACACTTACAAGAAAATAATTTTCCACACAGCTCACCTCTGCATAAAGATCATCCACCTCATCATAAACATCCCCATAATTGTTTGGGGGTTCAGGAGGAGATATGCTCTCTGGAGGAACACAGTAATCGTGAGAGGAATCCGACGAGAAGGAATGTTCTGATGATGCTGAAAAATAACATAAAAAATAAAAATGTTTTAATAAGGCACACAAACAGCATCACCTGGCTGAAAAGGCTTATCAGTGCTCATCTGGAGTAAAGGTCAGTTTCGATAATACTAAACAGTATATACAGTCAACTTTCTTCTACGATCACAGGTAACCCAGGCTCACTATTTGTGTCACATACAGGTTTCATATAACATATTCCTATGACCTACATGTGCAAGAGGTAAACACTACTAAGACTGCCTATGTTTGTCTTACAGAGAGTTGACTATGTAACAGAGATACTGCTGTGTTGTTTATGCGCTGTTTAGTCCTTAACTCTTTAAGTCCCAATGGTGACCAACATCAAAATTCTCCTAACACTATCCATACATTGTTAAGAGATTAGGTTATGAAAATTAATAATATGATCACCAAAGAGAAAATACCTTGATCTTTTATCAAATTCTCTTAACTCATTCTTTAAGGAAATGTATGGAGACCAGTTTGGAGAATTTGTATTTGGATATTGGGACTTAAAGGGTTAATTGAATGATAATTTCTAGGAAGGATGTTACTGTGAATTACCATCATTGTGGTCATCACCATCCTCTTCATCTTTTTCGTCAGTTGGTGGTTCTGTGTAATCATGATCACTGTCAGAAACGTCAGATTCATCTGTGCTCAGGTCTGTTAATGAATCAACAACAAAACACAAATTAACAGTTACTTAAACCAGTTTGCACTTAACTATTTCAGCTGCATTTGCTTACCTATTTTTAACAACTATATTTTGTTTGTATTTTTTTTTACTTTCAGTTGTATCAGTACATTATCTGGTGCAATAAAAATGAAATGTCACCTGGGAGCAATAGGTATCCACTGAAAGCATGAAACAAGCAAGAGGGCTGGATAATAGACAAGTTCTTTTTTCACGACACTTTTCTGGGATAAGATGAAGTCAAATGTAAAAATGAACAAGGCAAACATTCATCCATATTGACAGAGCAAGCTTGGTTATTAATAAAGGATTTATTATATCACCAAAACAAAATCTTTTCTCAAGGCACAAACTGGGCAGTCTTGAGATGGCAAAACCAGTGTTCTCCCTAAATTTTAGCTCAGCAGGTAAGGGACCATGCATTCATGACCAGTAAGGCAAAAAATATGCACCAGAGTTGCACTTTCCCTGGGGGAAGGGAGTAGTGGAGTGAGGGACATGGCCCTTCCCCAATAGGAAATTTAGGAGCAAAGTTCTCTGAAATGTCATTCCCTAAGACCTACATTGTGTATTTTACGCAAATCGGCTGTTGTTCTCTTGAGACAATTAATTTAATTAAAACATTTGATTGCAATAATTTTACTCTGTCTTTAATGTTCTCTTTCCAAAATGAGTGGCCCATAAAATGAAATGCTGTGTATACTTAAGTACTTTGCCATATATATTTATTCATTTTCTTTGTGAGAATCAGATCAAATCATACAATAATGTACATGTAACTTCCTTTTTTTTAAAATCTACTTTTTTTAATTTCAGTAAATCGTCACACAGTTGCAGGCAGTAAGAAGGGTTGCTTCAAGTGGTAAATTTTACCAGTTACCGCCTGATGAGGGGAGAACACTGAAGATTCAAGCAGCTAATCAGAACACAGGATTTGCTTCACTGATCATGCCCTCTTTTTTAATATTATGGACACAGTCACATAATAAAAATAATTCTGTTAATTATGCCCCATTTGTCTCAGCCTAAACATGTCTTTTCTGTAGAATGTGCTTAAGCTATGGTTGTTTGGTATTGTATTGGTATTGTGAAATTCTCTGCTAGTGAGCAAAACTGATCATTTTAAAACTTACAGCTGTAGCTGACTTGTAAGGAATATTTCAATTTCCAAACCTAAGTATCTTTTCAGAAACATAAGAAAGTTAAGTGTGTCTTCTAGAGCCTTACTTTTGACACAGATACTTTCACAGTTCTTTAAACAGTAAACAAAATAATAGTGTGTGATATATGGATCTGTCCCAATTAAACAACTACTAGTACAGCAGTGAAAATGTAAGCTATGGTGCTTACCACACTGGAGTCCATTCAAGGTGTGTTTTCTCTTCAAGCTGCTCACAAACCCAGCCACTGCCTGTTCATCTGCTGTCTCGTACGCAGCAGTAGCAGCTCTCTTTTCTTGAATGTCTTCCATAAACTCATTGACAACATTTTCATCAGGTGTTTCATAAGCACCACCTGCCTCATCTGTAGGAGCTTTGGTGGGACTGTGGGCTGATGATGCACCACTCATGGGTGGACTTGTACCAATAAATGCATGTTCATATGCATATGAGTATTGAGATTGGTCTAGGCAAAAGGAGAGAGCATATGAGAGCATAGTCAAGTCAAAAGCCAGTGCTGACCTGTTAATGGGCCATAATTGTTAGTTTCACTATACAATGTTTTACAATTGCCTTTCTTCGTTCATATTTTGTCTTCTGTATTTTTTTCTTCTATACATATATGTTTCTTTTTCATGCCTCTGTATCACTCTACTGTAATGTACATGTATGACCTTCTAAATTATACAACTGTATATACCTTGTATACTAATGGAGCGGATTAAGCACAAACAAACAAGTACATGTACATATACAACATAATATAATGTATGCATGCTGTCTCAAAATGTCACTAGGATCGGTGCACACACAAAATAACAGAAAATTAATGTGATTACAGCTGTTTGTGTAGGCATATTTCCAGCACAATTAAACTGCTGATTTGGAAGGGCTATATGGAGTCATTTAAATCATGAAAATCTGTTATTGAACCAAGAATGATTCAACAATGAGAAACTACATGTACTTAAAAATCGACCACAATTTCCCATGGTCTACACTCTTAGAGACCATAGAAATGATATCATAAAATGTTCCAAACTCAAGTGAAACCACGAGCCGCAGGTGAGTAGTTTCACTGCAAAGTTTTGAACATTTTATGGCAACATTTCTATGGTCTATAAGAGTGTAGACCATGGAAAATTGTGGTCGATGTGTTTTTTACAATAACATTTATTTTTAGTTTCCTGCGAACTTTCTCAGAAAATCTCGTGTGACATGTTACGTTATTTCCACGGTCTATACTCTCATAGACCATAGCTCTCGACCGATCAGCACGCAAGGATTCGATAAGTTATTGTAAAAAGTATTATTGACTTTAACTTTGTAATACAAGCAGCATTGTGCCATTACCTTCAGCTAAGGAAACATTTGATATTGCACTCATTGAAACAGACTTGCTGACAGAAAGTTTAACACCACCCCCTTGCGTATGATAATAAGCAGAGACGGGTCTTGGGCGTGGCACAGGTGGTAAAGGTGGACCTTTTAACACTGTTGCTTTCTCTGTAACAGGGGTAGCCCCTGGGGGTAAGGGTGGTGGTCTCCTGCTAGCTTGCACTCCATTGCTTGAGGAACGATTAACAATAGGATGAAGAGTTTTTCTTTGTGTTGCCAACCGTTTTTTCTGAGTCTCAGTCCCTACAACTGTAAATGACATGCAAGAATCAGGATAGTTAGAGGAAGAAGCTACGTCTCTGCATTATGTTAGCTTTTTAAAAAGCTAAAACAAGTCTTCTCTCACCAATTGAATTCCAAATATAATGGTCCAGTTTTAGTATGTATAACTAACAATATTTGAATATACTGAAAATGCTTTCTGCCATCATCTATTGCTACAGATGGCAAGGATTGACATGGATTTAAATAACAGGGCCAAGTTTTACAAGTTTTTATGCGATGCCTGCAAAAATCAGGATAAAAAATTGTTAAAGTAATTTGTGCTCCCTAATGGAATTTAAATGATTATCTTCTTCATATAAACTCTAGAGGAACATTTTGTGTATGGGTACAGGTGCTAAGTACCATTAATGGCCTCGGTACGGCATTGACCCAAAACAGCAATATTCTTTTGACATGCATACAGATGTAGCCCCTTTAATGACTTGGGGGCTATTATTTTGTGTACTAAAACTTTATTTCATCAATTATTTTTAAAGAGCTTACAACTCTGAAGTATCTTTCCATACTCACCAGATGTCTCTGATGGGGTGTCGCTGTCATTATCTTCACGACTTTCGACTGTTTTAGACCGCGCCCTAGCAACCACTTCTGCTGAAGGAGCACTGGGTCTTCCCAGCAGATGCTTTTGCACTTCATTTCCTGTTGAGGATTTCACAAGGAAACGTCATATAAAAGTACAATACGATCATGTAAAAAAGCACACACTGTTATGAAAGCAATAAAGTAACTAATGAAGTGCTGTCAATACAGTACTAACCTATGAAAGTACATGTACATGTATACTTGGTTCGGTTCTGCTGAAAACACTTATAAGGTTTTCAACCATCTTACAATAAGTTTAAATGAACATTCAAGGGAGCCTGTGCTAGTGAGAGAGAAAATCAACTGGGTTGATGACGTTTAATTTGCTACCGTAAAGCTATTCTAAAGTTGACTTTTTTTTTACTTTCTTAGTTTTGCCAAAGCAAAGTAATTTCTCTAACGTTTGTGACCTCTGAGGGCTTGAGCAGTAACCCTTCATCAGGTTGACTGCTTCCAATAAAATGCTAGAGCTCAAAATGTCAGCTGGTGGATCTTTTTACATTGACCGGTTTACTTCACCAACTTAAGCACTGCCAAAAGTTTCATCTTTACTCACCAACTTGAGGTTTTACTGGTAAAACTCCAGGCTTAGGAAGAAGTTTAGGTTTAGCAGGTTCTGCTGGTTTCACTGAACCTAAAGCAGGCTTGGAATCGGATTTATCTCCAGGTGAATTTGAAGCTTGACTACGTGATGGCCTAGGTGAAGGATGAGGAGAAGGTCGTGGCGATGAACCATTATCGCGGAAAGGAAATACAGGTATGGTTGATAGTTTTTGTGCTAGAGCAGCAACAGATGATTCACCCTTGGAAGATGAACTTAAGTCTGGAGGTGGCTTTTGGGGCACGGAAGGTTTATTGGCTTCAGTTGTTGTAGTTTGTCCTGCAGATGCTAAATCTTTTGGCAGTGACGGAAGAGGTTTCTTCGGAGGTAACGGTTTTGATTTGTTACTAGCGGTACTTGGATAAAGAGTTCTTGGAGATGTGTTAGGGCTCAGATCTTTAACAGCCTCAGGCTGTCTTGTGTCACTTGCTTTACGAAAAGATAATGGAGTTGTTTCAACTTTTAAGCCACTAATTTTTCGTGTGACAGGAGGGGAGGTCTTGCTTGCTACACCAATTGGTTTACGGGGAGTAGGTGGGGAAAATTTACTCCCTTGACTGATAACTTTGCGGGGGACGGGAGGGGAAAACTTGGGCCCTGTCCCACTTATTTTATGAGATGTAGGAGGAGAAGCTTTGCTTGTTGTGGTGATTGCTTTATGAGGCTCTGTACCACTTTCTTTGGAGGAGAGGGAAACCTGATTAGAATTTCCAGCAACTCCACTTGTTTTACGCGGAGATGGTGGTGTAATTTTGCTGGCTCTGAAAAATTAAAAAATTGGAATAATGTTACAATAATAATATCATAGGTGACAAATTACACCTTTATTTTGGTACAAATTACTAAAAATTATTAGAATTTGGACAAAACAACCCACGAAATTGCATGCGTATTCCCTAAATTCACTTGTCACCATCTGATTACACACACATGTACTACTTATAACTGGTATTATTATTACTGCAAACACTATATCTTCACCATTAGAACAGTTGTACTTTGGTTTTCAGAATGGAAATCAAACAATTTTGCCTAACTGAAGGGTTACTGCCTACTAGTACACATAAGATGGTGCAAACATTCAAGAAAATATACATATATGTTACAGGTCAAATTCGATTTCAGATTAATTTTGATTTAACCTAGGTTGATTCTCAATTTCCAATGTCTCATGGCCCTGGAAGACAGAGGAAATTGAGAATCAACCTAGGTTAAAAAAATTTTAACCTGAAATCAAATTTGACCTGTAACATATGTACATACATGTAAAACCTACTTTAAAAAATAAAAAAATTGTGAATGGTAAAACTGAAAGTGTCATGCATCACTAATTGTTTTCGTTAATTTTGATTTAACCTAGGTTGATTCTATATTTCCTTTGTCTCCTAGTCCTAGCAGACAAAGCAAATCAAAATTCAACCAAAGGTTAAATAACCTGAGAACAAATTTGACATACATGTACTGTTTAAAAAACAAGGAGTGTATTCAGGTTTCATACAAAAAATTGCAACCATTTTTCAAGGACTTTTCAAGGGCCACATTAGATTTTCAAGGACCACCGACTAGGAATATAATTATTTCACAGATAGTACATAAATGCACATTCCTAGTCTACTCTAATAAGGCTTTAAGGCTTGAACTGTTTGCTTCACCAACTTCTCTAGATTTTTCAGTTCATTTGTCTTGAATTGATAGTTAATTATGGCATAAAGTGCAGCGACTGGAGGAAGGGTGGCGGAGTGGACAGAGTGCTGGACTTGCAAATCGGAAGCCCCGAGTTGATGTCCCACTCTGACCGCTAGCTGGATTTGTTCCAATAGTCCCAAGTTCGAGTCCTTGGCCATGCTTGTAAATAGCCAACTGGTTTGCCTCTGGCCAGTTGGGATTCCTAACCCTCTTAAGTTCAATTTGAATTGTTTGTTTCAGGCTTTTGCTTGATCCTACTAGCATATAGTGCTATAAATACTGCCAAGGGTAAATAATGGAAAAATTAAATTATTATCATTATTGTTGGCATGCCTGCATTAAATAATTCTTGTGTATTTTTCAACTTTGCAGGCATGCTGGCAGTGAAGATAGTTCTTCACATATAACCATCATTTCATGTTTTCCACAAATAAACTTATTTACTGACCTTGGAACAGAGATAGCTTCATATCCTTCATCAGAGCTTGAAGACGAACCACTCACTGTTGGTCTCAATGGTTCATACCATCGCTGATCATCCACAGAATCATTAACAGGTCCATTACTCGTATCATTACATTCAGTTACACTTTTTACTGATGATTCAATCTTCGGTACACGAACTTCATTATTTTTTATTACTTTATTAACTAATCCTTGCTTTGCTAGAGGTTCCTTATCAGCTGACAAATTGTTATTATTTATTAATATAACACCTTTTCCCGCAGTTTCAGGTGTCTTCACATTCGGAGCTTTAGGTGGTGGTCTCCGTGGTTTTGGGTGAACAGCAGGCTTTGGTGGAATATTTTCAGGTTTTCCATTCTCTAAAGTAATGTCTGGTTTAGGTTGATGTGACCGTTTTCGAGGTGCAGGGCGTGGTTTTGTGGCAGGAAGAAGGGATGCCTTTTCCACAGGCTTCCATGTTCCACCTTTATCTTCTTCCTCCATGCCTGAAAAAAAAAAAAAGAACAAAATATCAAGGACTGATACTCTTTGCCATTATAGCATCCTTTCTGTTTAATTATCCCAGGACCCTTTTTGCTCTTTTAGTAGCAGGCACTTCTGTGACAACTGAACAGTGTTTTTACAGGCTGCCATTGTTTCTGGAAAACCCTGACCCTACTATAGAAATGAATTTTCCTTCTATAAAGTATTTATAACCTGGGTGAGACAAAAATAACTTAAAATAATCAATTTGCCTTAGGGCAAGATACCCCCTCAGAGTCTCCAGTATGAAGGTCTAAGCAAAACATACACAGTTCAAAATGATTCCAAACTTTGCTTGTCATAAAAAAATCTTATCCCTTTAAAAGCATGCCAGCAAACTGCCTTTGCTGTGATCCTTATGACTCAAGCTTAAAATTGGATAAAGAGTCTGAATTCATTACAATCAGTCAGTAACTGATTTCACAGTGACTTCTGATCGCAGTTTTAAAGAATGTCGGTCGTTTCGCCAACGAGTCGTTTCGCCAACGGTCGTTTCGCAAACGTCTCCGGTCAGTTCGCAAATATCTCTGGTCAGTTCGCAAACGTGTAGAAGTCAGTTCGCAAACGTTATCAACATTCATATGTGTAGAAGCCAGTTCAGTTCTGATTTCGGATGTCAACATTTGACCATACAAACTAACTCTCAAGCCTAGTCTTGTAGTTGATTTCGCTCTATCACAGCGTTTGCGTATTGCATGTACAATAGCTGTAATCCGCAAATCAATCTACCGGTATGAAACAGGTCTTACCGTTGTTGTGTTCTATCAGGAAGCTTTTCTCCTGAGGTCCACAAATTCCGAGAGACCGGATAAAAACGCCTCCATCTTGGATTGAAATATTGACATGGTTGCTAAGTGACGTACGTTGAACGTCTCAATGTCCTTCACTCTCTATTTCCGGTTCCGGTAGTGACTGGTTTGGTTACAGGAATTTTTCAATGAAGTTGTTATAATACACAAACATATTTATTGCTTACAGTTAACACGAATTACATGCAGGGACGTGTGGGCTGTCCGAGTGACGCCTGCCCTAATAAAGACAATTTCAAATTTTAGGTGCCGTCAACTACCATTAACTTAACCGATTCATTTAAATTAAAATAATTATACCTTATTACATGCGGGGACGTGTGGGCGATCAGAGTGACACCCGCCCCTATAAAGACAATTTCAAATACGTATCTGTAGCTACTTTTGACAAAACCGATTCATGTTAATGATAGTAATATGGCTACCCTAACATTCAGTATTTTCGACTAAACCACTAATAAACATTTTTCAAATTTTTCTGTGCACGTCAACTACTATCAACTTAACCGATACACTTAAATTAAAATATACCTTATTACATGCGGGGACGTGTGGGCGATCAGAGTGATACCCGCCCCTATGAGACAATTTCAAGTATTTCTATGTAACTACTTTTAACGTGCTGGGCCGTTTAGATGTGAACAGACCTTGAGGAGCTGCGAGGCGGTCTTCTGTCGGTTGTCATACTGCTCCCAGTATTCAAACAACTTGGCTTGTAGATGTCTGTAAGTTTTACGCTGCATGCGCTTCAATTTCCTCTCGGAGACCAGCCTAATGGTGAGAGCTGTGAGCTCCGCCTCCCTGTCCAGTAGCTCGATGAGATAATATAAAGGCAGGTTGCATTGCCCACCAGCTCTGCGATTTAGGGCGTTATGCCAACCTTCTATGTCGTTGTTGGTACGAACTGGTTGTTTGTAGACGCTCCAGTCCTTTGGCGTGAAGGCGGGGTTTTCGATCCACTGGCGTTTCATGTAATCGACGAGATCCATAATGGGCTGTGCTTGGGTCTGTACACTCAGTCGAACGAACATCGGTGCGATCTCGTGAACTGGCAGGAAGGGAAGGGCCATCAGCTTCTTGATGTATCTGAATACACTGTCGTCTCTGGAGTACGCCGATTGAAGTCCTAGCTCTTGTACCTTTTAAGAAGAACAAATTAACATCGCTTATTAATTTAGGCATAGTCACAAGCGAGTAGATTCATGTAATAATACGCGTCAGTTTTGGTGAGTCATTTTAAATTGTTACTCGGACAGCCCACACGTAACAAACGAGTAGATTCATGTGACAATAGGCGTCAATTTGGTAAGTCATTTTAAATTGTGTACTAAGCCTACTTGTCGTTAGTCCCCTTGCATTTGTAATCTATACTATTTCATTTGTTTTCTTTTACTAACCTTTCTCCACACTGCTTGTGTCCAGTGAAAGACACAGCCTTGTATCTTTACTGCAGGCAGGATTGATCTAAACGCAAGCCACAAGGCCTTCTCAAAATCAAGGGTAACCCGTTGGACGGCTGGTTCACTTCGGCAGCAAGTCAATGAGAGTCCTCAAAACCTGTTGAAACGACAACGAGAGATGCGTATAAGTGAGGCGTGACATCGAGATTGCCTCAGTGAGAATTAAACATTTATATGTGATTTAAAAGGAACTGCTTTACCTTTATTAGATTAGCATACGTTCACTTCACATTATTAGATACTAAAATTTCTAATACCTTCTTATAGTCCTTTCCTTTCTTGTTTGACATAAGGACAAATGCCAGCGGCACTTGTTTCAAGGCCTTTTCGACCGGATCTAACAAAGGCGTTGATGGTTACGAGCTGTTTGAAGGGATGTCGTACTAGCTTGAAGGTGCCATCGACGTACCAGGACTTTGCTGTAGCCAAAGTCTGCAGCTGTTCTTGTCTGGCAAATATGAGGTGCCGTCAGTTCTTCACTATTACATTCGCCTGGTAGAATCCTTGGGGAATACATTCTTCTATCAGCTCGAAGTTCAGGTCCTTCGGGTCTTCAGGTCGTAAACTTTGGCGCAGACGGTTGGCGGCCCTCGCTATGTACTCGGGTTTGGGAAGGGCTGGGCACGGGGCTTCTGTCAATTGATCCAACAGGACCTAAAACATAGGAACAGATTAATGGAGTTACAGTTAAACTAGGTTCTTATTTTAGGCATGGTTATCATCTAAACTGTATTCGACAGAATTATTTTTAATTCATATAATTTCGTCATGCGGCGTGCGGGGTTATATTCACAAGTTCTTTGGGTCAAAACACGTGAACGAGGCGGTGAGGGCTTTTGACGCAAAAAGAACGAGTGAATTAATTACCTCATTCACTATCGCCGAAGCTGGCTTGAACTTGTTCTCCAGCGCTTTGGCTTTAACCGTAGTGACGATCTTTTCATGGTTGCGGCGCCAACTTCCCCAGTGGTTATGGGAATTCTTCCCGCTTGGAATGTTCCGTCTCTTTCTGCTACCGAGGCCTTACAGGGGTTGCCTTTTGGACGGACCGTGCACTGCCAATAGGTAGCGTAGGATCTCTTGGCATTTACGTTATAAGTAAATCCAAGGCTATCGACTAGCATGGCTCTCCCGCGTTTGGTTCCCTCTTCCACTAGATGGTAAGTAACTGAGGCCCGGTGGTGGGCAATGACGTCGCGGCTTGGGAGTGGCTCAGCAATTGAAGACTCGGTGAGGCAATCGTTATCTGTGGAATAAACGGCAAAAATCACATTAATTATAAAAAAAGAAACAGAAAAGGGCGATTATGATTAGGGTGAACTATTGCGAGAACTAGAAAGATTTTAAGAGAAAAGACAGACTAACTGATTAATCATAATAATTCATTATGGAAACACCAAGTACAAGAAAAAAAAAGAAACTTACGGTTGTCCTCCAAGCTCTCTCGGCTATCGTATTCCGCTGTTGATCGCTGGGACGGTGTATCAAGTGACGGTGGAATGTCAAAGTCATCGAGTCTTGTACTCTCAGCGATGGGTATGGAATCATCATCAGCACAGTAAATGCATGTCCAAACGATCTCCTTTCCTGATCGCACTGCAGCCCTGTAGTCTTCCCTCGTGATGCCTGTCTGGCATCGCCGGTGTTGCCACCTGTCGCAGCCATCACATAACAGAGCTTCCTGACGAGAAGTGACTTCTTTAGCGCAGAAGATACAATAAAAACTTTCCATGACTAGTTGTCGACTGACCGTGAAGGTAAGTTGAATGAAATGAACAGAACTCGCAGCCCTTTATATACTGTACATGTAGTGACCAGTAGCAGCGGATCAAAATCACAGCAATGTGATTGGTAGTCGATTACATACTGCACCACTGATTTGTCGTTTTCCACTAAATAGGTGACAACTAACTCTAATTAAGATAACAATAGCGCGCGCGTGTTTCCTACGAGGTAAGCTGTATGAAACAAAACGCGAACCGAACCACACGCGTGTAAGCGAAGAGGACGAACAATTATCCTAAAGGACTGGGTTTAAATAAAGCAACTTCAAAATGGCGGTCTTTCTTGTATGTCCATTTGATTAAGGAATATACTTTAGCGGGAAATAAGCGGTGAGAGTTCACATCCAATAATTTACGCATACAACGAGTAAGTAATGTAGTATTCTGAATCGTACAGTTAAAGCCAGGTTGACATGTAAATGTTTGTAACATTAAATTTCAGACCCAATAATTTAGGCATAACGTTAGTCTTCTGAACTGTACAGTTAAAACGTAGGTTGACATGTCAATGTTTATAACGTTTGCGAATTGACTTCGAAACGTTTGCGAACTGACTTCTACACGTTTGCGAACTGACCGGAGACGTTTGCGAAACGACCGTTGGCGAAACGACTCGTTGGCGAAACGACCGGTTTCCGTTTTAAAATTCTTATGACCGAGTTTGAAAGCAAAAGGAAAAGAATTATGATGATTTTGAAACATGTTTATCTATTTGTCAAAAAAAAATACACGATACATGTAAGACCATCATTATTGAAGATCAATAATAATTTGCCACAAGGCGCTAGGACTAAAACTGACATTACCATCTCAAATTATATGTAGTTACAGTGTACAGTTTTCAGGACTGCAAAGGAATACTCCATTACCAGGTATATATTCGTTAAAAACCTGGTCAAATATCGCCTTCTATTGAATACTGGATTTGATATTCAAGTAAGCACGGTCGTGACTTGTCATGCTTCCGAGAATAGCAGGACTGAATATTGTTCACTTTGACTCCAACAATAAATTACATACATGTACAAACAATGAAATAAGCGTAATTTACACGCGTTTAAACGTAGAGAAACGTTCATTATATCCTCAGGACGACTTCGAATACAATTTAGTTGAATTTTTTAAATAACTGAAAACTTCATAGGAAATACACTACCATGAGCGAGCACTGATATGGAAAGAGAGTGAAATACATACAACAGTCCACTTGATATTAACTATAGTCACAGATATCTGCTTCAATAGGAAAGAAGGTGTCACTTGAAGATAAATAAAAGAAAAAGCACGGAACATCTGAACGGGAGATCAATTCAAGAATCTGCTAAAGATATCAAATCGATAAAACAACCCTGTAGAATCAAAGTCAGTTCCAAACAGACATGATCGCCACGCAAACTATTTCACTGATTGAAACAATATTGGGAAGACAAATAAACAGCGTATGGACATTCGATTTTCTAAGGAAGACAACAAAGAAGAGATAAACAATGAAGAATTACAAGTTAAAGAACATCAAGCTTATTGAATTTGAAGCACCGACAAATTAAGCTCAAGTAGAATCAACAACGTTCAGTGCATCACTCACCGAAGATCAGCCCACATCTGCAAAAGGCCGATCAAAGCTGAACCACATTCACCAAAATCACAATAACCTCCGTTTTCGAACGCTGAAGATGTTGTACGAAGAAGCACTACTATTGATGTTCTAAGGCATCGGAAATACTGTCAACAGGTTATTTTCTGAAGTCCTCAAAGAGGCAAGCAAATGCGCAGATTGTCAACAAAGTGTGAATTTTTGCGCATTTCCGTAAAATAGTTGATAAGAGACTGGGTCAGAAACTATTTCATCCTAAAATTTACAAAATTATTATTTTTCTTATACTCACCAATTTCAGTGCCAACGAGTGCATAAAGCCTCATGTCTTCATGAAATCGATTTTTCTTAGAATCCCTAAAATAGCTAACAGTGTAGTTCTATAGTAACGGTATAATTATCGGTATTGGCTTCCGCGGAACTTTTCAAGGTTTGACTTTAAAATTCTTCAGGTCTTTCAATCTACCGATCTCCGATTATTATTTCAGATTGATAATTGTTTCAGTTGATCCCCAGATTTATACCTTTGTTACATCTTGAAATAGACCATAACTCTCAAGATCATAACGTGATCTCGGATTCATGCAATACGGTGTCCACCATCGAACCAAAATAAGCAAAAGTCTCTTTTTCCGGAAGTGATCAAGTGACGTAGAAAACCACTGATCCGGAAGTGACGATACGCCCTAATTGAGGCGAGCTGAGAATGGTGTCATTACAATTTCAAGGCCTGGGTGTTGTTTTTCCGTGTCTAATCTGTATCTGATCAAATTATTTTGATTGCTATTGCAACACAATAAACTGAATAAAAGTTAAAGTACGAGAAGGGCCTGTTAACTGCACGTGACCATCAATTACGACGGAAATCACAATCACAAGACTCGATTTCACCACTCCCCAATTCGCGGAAGGAAAGAACTTAGGTTGTAGGGTCTGTAAGTGATAGATAACAGTTAAGTGAAAAGAATGTTTGTAAACTTACTTTTGCAACTCTGTTATGGTTGTTTTATTCCATTCATTGCATAAAACATCGGATGTAATTTCCATGAGAATTTTAATTGTAGACACCCTGTCCCCCCGCTTCCCCCCATTAAAAAAGGAGGAAAAAACTTTTAATTCCTTTCGATTTATTGATTCAATTAGGGATGAATAACATTTAACACAGATGATAATGTGAAAAATGCACTGATTATAAACACATTCACCAAGCCAAACCATAAACCTAACATTTACAGTTTCAATTCTGTAGACATTGCTTATATTATCAAGTTTTATTTCAGCCGACTGAAAGGCGCCTCACTTTCAGGTCAGTATTATAGTAACAGGAGTCTATCACTGGTTACTCTTTTCACAGTCTGAGAGAATTTACATGTAAAATTGACCTCCCTCTCCATCAATCAAAATATACTCAGGAGATAAAGTAAAAAATAAGCAGTAAGTACAGTATATTTATACACGTAAACACAGAGTTAACAAAAACTCGTTCGAACGTGCACGTGATAATGGAGTGTCCAAAAATAAACAGGAAACGCTCAGAGAACTCTTAAATAGGACATACATAATTATCAACTGAAATTGGAGATCTCTACTCAGGCCTTTGAACAAGGATTATAAAGACATTACAGAAAAAATATATATATAAGTGATGACACTAAACTTTCAAATGTAGTGAATGACATCAGGGAATTTAAGCCAAGTTCAGATTAGTTGATTACTTAAAGAGACAGTTAAACTACACTGTAGTTTATTTAAGTCTGAAGCAATTGAGATTCATAGACTTGATGACAAACAATGAAAAATACATGAGAACTATTTTTACCAAAGACTTTATTTGTGAGAAAAATGATAGTTCATTATCAGTTCGGGAGTATGCCAGTTTTGGAAGAAGCGAAAACAATGGTCTACGTCACCAACCATAACATGATCACCATGGCGATGGTCATTTTCAAAACATACAAAATGGCGGACAAGGGAGAGGAGAGGAGAGGGTATTGACCAAAATTCTCGTTTATTCTTGCTTTATCGAGCCTTTTATTTGTCTTTTCGTTACTATGAATTGGGAAGTACCTTGAGGACAGGGAGTAACCATTCTTGCGCTATAGTTCTTCGCTTATCGCGCGCTTAGTAGGCACTGCGGACTCACTGCGTATGTAATCAGTACATCGAAAATAGGTAAGCACGCCAACAAGTTTGTGCCTATTTATTTCATTATTTTTTTATATCATAAGGAAAAAAGAACGCTTTGGAAACAACTAAAAAGTGAGTTGTTCTATAATTCTTTTCCTTATGTTTGCTTTCACAGTAAGTGTTGATGTAATTTTTCCCGTTCCTTCTGTTTCTCTCCCGCGAGTGAGCGACTGGCCGTAGAAGACGGCTATAATTCAGGTTATTGTTTTGGTGCAAGCGAGTCATTTGTGAGTAAAATATCAGTTTTTTCGAATATGATGTTCTGTTGTTTATGTCTTGAAGCGGTTCCGTCTAGGTATACAACAGGTTTACAAGGGATTTCTGAGGGTATTTGTGCCCTCGTTTTCTTCTTGAAAACCCACAAAGTGAAAATCTTACATATCATCCCTGATCATTTTTTTTTGTCCCGCTTCAAAGAAAACCTATTGCTTTCAATTATTCCACTTTCTGAAGTTCACTGATTATTTGGACAAGCTTAACAAATGCAAGAGGCTCTTTAGAATTTAATAAACATATTGGAAAACTAAGAATTATGCTTGTTACATGCTTTTGGATCTATTGATTAAAATGGGACACTATAGTCTTGTAGTCCACCGGATTTGACCAGAGGTGAGAGATCAACAAGGTTATGGTTTGTTATAAAATATCCTCTTGTATGGGATTTGATGTTACATCCGAGTAATACTAAATTATTGTTTTTAACTCTGGGGTTGCCTTTAAACCAAAGGCATTGTAACTTTGAGGAGCACTTTTCTCCAAGTCTTCTCTGTGGGGACCCTCAAACAATTCTATTAGACAAGTTTTGGCCCAAAATAATAATGATTACTGCACTTGGCATGGACACAACATAAATTTTCCAAAGTTCTTTTTCATAGCCGGTTCTTCATGTTTCTATTGAACAGCACTTTCAAGAAAACACAGCTCACACATCAGAGTAAAGATACAATAAAAGTTATTTATTGTTACATTTTGTTTTTTGTAAATAAACATTTGATTTTAGGTCCTGACAGTTAATTCTTTCTGTATTACTGTTTTTGATTCTGACCTGCATGACTCGCTGCCATGGCTCTCTGGCTCGCATATTATACACACTCTTTTATCTCAAAATCTTGTTTTTTAACACCTTCTTGGACATGAAAACCAAAAACCAAAACTTATTTGATATAATGAAGACAGTAGCAGCTGACATCGATTTTCAATAGTTATCTTGTGAGATGTCTCTCATGTATTATTTATTAGGGAGGATGATTTGTTGAAGACGATGCATTAACATAGATGCTTTTTCATCAAGAGAATCTCAATAATTTAGGATTTCTTCAAATACACACATATTCGACATTATGAAATCAAATGTGGGCTTATTGCTCATGCACAGGGATTGATGGGGGAGAGTGTGGCATTTTTCATGTTTCAGATTGACCTTTTGCACAGCACAGGGACTGAACATATTATGTATTTGGCATCTGTAAAGTATAAACAATATTTGACCCGAGGGATTGAACATTATGTAGAGAAAATCTTAACAAGCCTCCACTTCCATGACTCCTTTCTCATCTATCTCCTTTAAAGCCCCTTGAATAAAGGCCACAGTCTCTTCTATGGTTGAATGGTCATTGAGTGTGAGCTTCCACTCACAAGGTATGTAAGCCCCCCTCCAACCTGTTTCCCTCTTACCCATTTTTGAAAGGGTCAAAGGAGGGGCTTTTGTGGTGGGTAAGCCTGTGACCACACTACAAAGAAACCAAAAAAAAACATGATTAATTTTATTGAGGTAGGGTTGAATTTGGACATTAAATTTTTCATTACAGTGGAACATAAGGCGAACCTAAAGCAATATTTTGCCCTCAGAGCACAAATATGTCGTTCTGAAGATATTTAGCATTTTGTCTTCCTGGTTCCTGTTCCCAGCTTTTTGGCACAAACGCGACAACATGTTTGTAATATCTCCAGATGTTTGTGTACATTTTGGACGGACATCCTGATCAAAATAAAAGAAATCAATATAAGAACCTACTCACACCGATTTAAAACTCATTCCACACACATGATCTGGATCAATAAAGTGATTTCTAGATGACAGTCGCATACATTGCCGGTGAACACAACCAAAAACAGACCTGATCGATTATAACTAAAACTACATAGACAGACTAAGGCATAACCATCAATATTAGTAACCCTTCCTGTCCGTTGGCAATTTTCAATGTGTGGTTGCCATTTTTACTAGGTTGTTGCCATCGATGAAACTTTGCCTGAACACACTTTACATGTTGTAGTTTTGAGGAAAATTAGTCTTGATTTCGTGAAAATTCGGCAAGATACTGAAAACTAAACATAAATTCATGTACTTACATTCGATACCCGTCAAAATGGCGGCGGCGGCGGCGAAGGCCATTTGAAAACTGTCGCTTTTAACTACCGAAATGTGGCAGGAAACTTCCCTTGACTTTAAAAAAGCAAGGAGAAGGCTTCTTCATCGGTACTGCTAGCTCGGAAGTCCCAGATATTGAACGAGGAGACCTGCAACAGGCTTTGAAAAAAGATCTCTTGTTTCTTGCGATTATTTTTTCCTATTTTTGCGTGTTTTTAGCAGAACAATGGAATCGTGACGTCATCGCTTCTTCCAAAACTGGCATACTCCCGAACTGATTATGCATCTTAAATATAAGTTTTTCCTGTTAAAGTAAACAATTGACCCTGTTTTAACTTAAACAGGAAGAAGTCACACCTGTTTATTTAAATGTCCTTAAAAAGTCAAGGAAAAAGTTCAATCACTTAGACTCACTACATAATATGCTATTTCTTCCTTCATGATATGAGCAAAGATCCCCATTTTATTGAAAATGAAAATAGCCTTGTAAAATGTTGTAAGCAAGTATCATTGTGAGACACTTCCAGAGTAGCAGCGTTATTAATGAAGACCAGTGTCATTAATTTTGTCATGATTGCAACATTCAAGTCTGAGGATACTGGGATCTTAAACCGGAGCAAAATCAAGGCTTCTATATCAGTACAGACCATGGTGACTTGAAAGGGAGAAGGAATAGGGTGTATTCTACTCAAGGGGCTAGGTTTTGGCGCCCATCACCATAGCAATCCTATATCAATGATACAGCTATTTCAATTAATGTTGTCAGAAAGGCCACACTGTTATGTTCCATGGTATTCTAATAATGTCTTCTCTTTCAGTTTATATATAGTTTTAAAGTCTGTTCAACTCTCATTGATTCCTTCTTTAGTCATTCTTTAAAACAAATCCTTACTATGAACAAAAAACACAGCTTCAAACTGTGAAGATGCCTACAAAAAATCAATTCTCAAATTTATCACCATAAGAGAGAAAACGTAATGGACAGCTAAAGCAGCCACAAAAAATGACAGCAACTAGACCACATCAAGAAACCAATAAAATTTATAAACAAAATTAACAAGAGCTCTTACTTATCAGGAGCGTAGCACCCATATACACACATATGACTGTGCGTACGGCTGAAATCTAGAAAAAAAAATTTTTCCTGAAGGCATTTACCACTAACACGCTCCCTCAAAGAGTTTTTTTTTTGGTACAAACCTGCGGGCTGGTGGACATCAATCAACTATTACCATGGTTTTCACGCGTTGGCCAAGAGAGGATTCTTTCCCCGTTTCTCGACCACTTGGAGGAACATGTCAGCATTCAAGCTGTTTTTGCAAAATTTTGATGGTATTTTTTTAACTGTTAAATACCCTTTTTTCCATAAGCACTGTACTTTTAGAACCGATAATTCTAGAGATTAATAAAATAAACAATGACTGCATTTTCCTTTGTATTTGTGAACTGAAAATGTCCTGCAGAGAGAAGAAGGTAATGGCATTTCTAAGCCCCCAAATTTGTGGGGAGCTTTCCCCCGGACCACCCTAGCTTAGTAAGTTTGGAGTGCCTTTTGAGGTCTGACTTTTCATCCCATGAGTACACCTTTAAAATTTCACGTTACACCCCTGCTTATAACATGTCCAGGGTTACTGTTAACATGTTAATAGACACAAAGAGGGTGCTTCTTGTTGCCCTCTAATCCACAATGGACATTATGGACATTATTTTGCACAGCCATTGCCATCATGGTTGCTCAAGCCCCCTGATGCAGAATTGACTGGCAAATTCTCTATTTATTGAACTAAATGTCTATGAAAATATTTTTATGTTCCTTAACATCTTGAGATATATATTGTTTCCTACAAGTCTCTTACACACAAAAAATTGATTGTCAGATTGATCATCAAGGTAGTTGCACCGTCTATTAAACCGAAATCTGAGCTGATTTGACTGAAAGCAATTATTTAATCAGCATTGGGCCAGCGAGCTTCTCAGCTTCACCATCATCACCTCGTACAGCACGTACAAGTTCAATACCAAACTCAAAAGCAGTACCAGGTCCTCTGCTAGTTACCAGGTTTCCATCTCGAACAACTTGGTCTTCAGAGTAGGTGTAACCTTCAAGACAAAAACGATCAAATTTTACACCACCAAACTTGTAACAGCAGTTCTTCATTTGCATGAGGAACACAGAAAAGTTACCATATACATTTAAAATATACAGAGTTTAGTATGATAATGTTTATTCTATCTTCAAGTTTCCAGATAATTGAGAACATCATCAATTTCTTTAAGGATAGGAAAAAGAACTGTTAGACATCACACAGAGATTTCTAATATTGTAGGATTTAAACTTTAGTTGACCTTATGTATGAAACTCATGTTTGGTTGGTTTAGCTTCCATTTTTAATAATAAAAAATGCTTGGTTGGTTTAACTTCTATTTTTAATAATTAAAAATAGAATTAAGCCAACCGAACATGAGTCTCATACAAAGTAAATAATAATAGGTCAACTAAATAAAACACTTTAGGGGCAATTTTATGGTTACAGGACACACAGTGCTGCCTGGTGAGTCAAGCAATAATTTCAGTGAAGACTTGGCAAAAAAAATTCAACCCAATTGCTAAAATTAACTTCCTTAAAATGGTATAAGCAGCTCACAGTATAGTTTTAACTTTTTACAAAAATATGCAGGCTACACAAATATTTGTTTATTTTCCAATTTAGAATGAAAAATGTATGCAGTCATGTGAAAACATACCATCCAGTTTATCTTTGACAGAAGGATGTGATGTGACAGTCTTTCCTTTAGCAATTCCATGAGTATGAAGAGCAGTTGGGGCTGCAGTATGATCGAAACAAAGGTTTAGGTTAAAGTCTGCATAGAAACCAAATTGCTCATCAGCCCAGAGCTTATTCCATTTTCCATGGCAAAACTAATTAGCAGCTGGGAATATTTCTACCACCCTCCCCCCTCTGAATAGGATGTTATTCCATCACACCAAGTCGCTGGTACCTAGTTATACACTTGGGTGAAGAGATGCAGGGGCAGATCCAGGATTTTTTTTAGGAGGGGGTGCACTCGTCTCTTGCTCTACTTCAACACCAATAAACCACATAGTTTTTTTTTTGCAGAATACCAGTTGTATTAGAAAACTGCAGGTCATCTCAGGGGGGCGGGGGTTGCACACCCCCTGCACCCTCTCCCTGAGATATAAAGTGGAGCAAAGTTTTTTGTCTAAGGAAAAAATATGACAACAAGGCTTGAACTAGGACCTACATTTTCTTCAGTTTCAGACCTCGAGGTGTTCCATAGTCTCAGCGTAGCCGTTTTTTTGGATGTCACACAACGCTCCAAAAAAACGGCTGCAAGGGAGACGAGGTGTTCCACAAAACAATGAAAACAAAAGTTACTGCGTTATATTCTGTACTGTTAAGATATGAAAAGCAAAATAGTAGACTCAGTCTTACAGGGCTGTCAACCCCCGACATTATTGAGAAATGACAGGGAAGGGATAATAGATGATGTCACAATGCATGAAATATGATGTCATTTGTGCAAAAAAAACATGCAAAATAGATGTTGTTGGAATTGTAACATTAAGTACCTGATTGGTTTACTTCCCACCAATCACATTATTGAAAATGGCATACTAAGGTTTCTGAGGAAACGTTTAATGTTAAAAGTTAAATAGCTCAAACAATGCAAAATATTTTAAATTTCATTGACAGAAAGTCAAATCTACAAGAAACAGCAAACTTTGGAAATTATCTGGGAGATTTCAGACTCTAATCTGGAGACCAGGAGAAACGGTTCAAAATCGGGGGTCTCCCAGATTATCCGGGAGAGTTGATAGCACTGGTCTTTATATGTCGACTTAAGACATACATGTAACATAAACTGCACTTATAAGCCAGCTGGGCTTTTACATCTTAGGAGGGCTTATAAAAGGACGGGCTCATAACCCAGTGTTCTCCCTAAATTTTAGCTAAGCAAGTAAAAAAACATTCTTGACCAGTAAGACCAAAAATATGGCAGAGGGGGAGAGACTTTTCATTCATTAAGGCTTTTATTCTTGAGCATCCTGTCAACCAATTGACTGAAAAGTACTTTTAACACCTCAAAACAAAGAATTTTACGAATGAAGCCTGCATTTACCGCTAGGGTAAATTTAGTAACACAAGTCGTGGGAGACGTGAACTTTTCCTGCTGGTCAAGA